TGCTTTTCGATACTGGACAAGGTGAACGATTGATTTTTCCCTCTCGCACTCGCAGTAAAGTGTAGCGTCAGTGTGGTTGAAGCGGCGATGATAAGCCACGAAGTCTCCATGTCCGGTTCGAGCGACTATTAAGCGAGCGTAGACTGCCCTTGGTAGTGCTAGTTGTGGCGGTTTCTTACGCCTGGCGGACAGCTGGTTGGACTCTTTTCTAATTTCTAGGTGCTGTAGTGCGGGCAAGAGCGTCGGGTAGTTCTGTAGGGACTGGGCCGTCCAGTTCGTGACTACTGTCACGAGCTGTGGACAGGCACGACGTTATATTCAATCAAATCAAACCAAACCAAGAGCCTTCAACTGAAGGTAGAGATGCAGGTTCAGGGCCTCAGTAGGCTAGTTCAATCAGCGTGGGGATCCACATTTCACAAGTCAAAGACAATCTACAGCACGATTGTGAGGCCGGCTCTAACATACGGGTCACCAGTTTGGGCCAAGGTCGGGCCGGGAGGAAAAATGCCAGAGAGGATAGTAAGACCTCTCAGAAGCATGCAGAGGAATTGTCTGAAAATTGTCACCGGGGCATACAAGTCTACGAGCACGAGAGTGCTGGAACACAAAATAGTCACCCTTCCGATTGAAATATTCTTGAAGCAACATAGGCTTCAATATTTAGGTCGCTCAAAGGACTTACCTGTCCAGAAGAAAATCTAGTCCGCCTGTAGTAAAATCAAGCTGCCCAGAAAAGGGAGAGAAGATATACGAACAGTTAACAGGAGGGTAGATCTTGCCAACTGGACGGGAATGTGCGGTGAACAACAAAATAAGAAGACACATACAGAGATAGTGAAAATTATGGCATACCAAGAGTGGGCGAAATCCTGGGCCAAGCAGACACAAACTCAAAAGCCTCGGCAGTTAGCAACTGCAGATTCCGAAACTTGGAGAGCAGCCAAATTTGACAAAAGTAGAGAGTCTGGACGGCAAAAACTGAGTTTTCAAGGCTCACCATTCTTCCTACATCGTAACCTGACAAGGGCCCAAAGCAGTTTGGCTATGCAAACACGAAGTGAGCACATGGGGCTTAACTCTTATTTGCACAGAAGAAAAGTACCCCGAATATTAAGTCCAGGTTATCCATGTGGCTACCAATCACAGAATCCCAGGCATATGATGATGTCCTGCACCAGATGTTCAAATGGTAGAGCTGAGATCTGGAGACAAGCCAAAGATCGATCCTACGAAGCGATGATAAACAATCCTGGAGATATAAAAAGGATAACATAGTTGTCAACGGCTAAGAATAACCACCGAAGAAGTTGGACAAAGAAATGTCTCAGGTCAAAAATAGGGACTGTCCATACATATGTGGGTTATTTGTTTCGGTCAGTGCTTGAATTCTGTGTCTAGAACTGCAGGTTATACTATTTCTAGCGCATGTCTATATTTAGAGATCAAGAGATCAAGTCAATCATGATCAGTGTATATAGTCCTAGAATTCCCGGAGAAATAGAAATCAAGTTGTTTTTACTGAGTTATCTTTTACTTTAATTACATACACTTTGCCTGTCACAGGTCAGGCTCCCAGTTACCTGACAACAGTAGATCCTAAATCATGGTGGGATAGAGCAATTCCAGATGACAAAGGCGGTCGAAATGCTGCTGAGGGAAAGGAAAAGGTTAAATAATGCTTGGGGCGGATAGAGATGATCTGGTTGGTTTACATGGATGGCACTATAGTGTAACTGCGCTTCCTGAAGAAAATATGTGAAAACTATAGACAACAAGTAGAAAGGCGTGGGGGGTTTTCACCATAAAGGTTTCCTCCCGAGTAAATATTATAGACTGTAGACACCTGCATGGGCCCAAAGGGCGCCAAGTCAGGATAATGAATTCAAATTCAAATTCAAACAAATAACTATTGCAGTACCATGTCACACATGAAAACGGCACATGGCTGATGCTTCCATATCTTCTTGGAAAGGGTTAGTGTTGACAGGACTTAAGCACTAGTGCTGGGGAATGGAAATAGAGTGTACTGAATTGTATATATTATTACAACTATCTAGGGTGTTTCGAACCTCTACGAATTAGATGAGACGCACAGGCCTCTCCGGGTTAGTCAGCTATTATTGTCTGCCGAGCCTAACGGCCTGAAGTTGCAACATTCAGCTTGAGTGGAACCAACAGTTAGTATAAAACGAAAATAAATACGAAGCTGTGTAAATAGCTTATGACTATTGGATGCAGCAGTATTGGTAAGGAAGTTTTGTTTGATTTTTCCTTGAGCTGTTGTTCAATGTCCAGGCTAAAGAATAACAATAATCGAGGGACGAAGACGCAATACCTCTGAGCAGTGTCACATATGAGCTTCTATATATCACTGTAGAGTCTGCAGAGCCAAGATTTAGGAGCTCCTCTGTCCGTTTCTCTCACTGCATTTCCCTAGCGCCGTCATCATGAAGCTAAGCACGATCAGATCAGAAGGTAGGGTTGGAGCCTGTCGAGGCCAATAACCACTGAGGGAGAGCAGAGTCTGAACACCCATACGCGGTGTCCTCTACGAACCTGGGAGTGAAATCTATTATGATTGGTATATGATTTGGGAATTTACACTTGCGCTGTAACAGCTAAGAACGTTTGTGGAGAGATATCTTCATTAGTGTGCAGAAGTGAAGTTCTGTGACAATTATTATGATACAGATTGGGGGAAGCTCGTCCCTTATCCCCTAGCTTGTTTCCCTGTAGACCAATCATGTTACCAGTATGCAGCTCACTAAAGTGTGCAACCAACTGAGCAGCCATGCCATTTATCCCATATCAACAACCCATCTCTCATGCTGCACACATTACTACTTGTAGTATCGTTATGTAGAGACTGGATCTCCTCCATACGACATAATGCCATGCTACCATAATAACTACCTATGCACCAGCTACTAGATCTACCATACTACATAGCTGAGCACAACAAAATCTTCTTCCAGAGCCAAGTTCAGTCAAACTTCGCAATATCAAAGAAGTTGGCCCACGAGGCAATGATTCAAATTACTCTACTACGTCAAATTTTCACTCACAACGAGTTCGATTCTTTTTTTTTGTTTTTATTGTATATGCAGCTCTAGAGCTATGACACGATTCTTTATTTAGTCTCATCAAGTCTACAAGTACGAACTAGTACATCCTCATTCCAATGACCACACATCTCGTCGACTTTCTCTGGCCTCAGCCAGTCGACAAATACATGCCCACGCCGACATTTACACTCGACGGAGGAAGCAAAGCGTGGCGCATAAATCTGGGAGACAGTTCTTTGGGGTGGACGTGAGAGGGACTAGGACAAGTTTACAAGATGACACGGAGGATGGATATAACCTCGATGAACGCGTGATTTTGAATTTTGGCAAGGAGTTTCATGGACTGAGCTTTGTGCGCGGTAATAATTCGCTTGCGAGAGTGCAGCTAATATTTTAAATTCTTATCAACGAGGGAAGTGGCCGTGGTCCGCAACCTGGTGGTATTTCTGGTATAGTTTGAGTTGTCTGGGCACCCACTCCGCTTTGGAAAGAAACGCCTCGAATCATATTTTGTGCGGAGACAAATCAGTAGATGGAGGCATGTCTGGATAACTCAGGGTTTCTGAGACGTTCCCCTGGGTGGGTATTCACGGATGAGGATTGACTTGGGTTGAACAAAAAGCTGCCATAACTTCGCAGTGGTACTTGCCAATGAAATCCGAGGTATGAGGGCTCATCCTTTACATTGAGTCATCTATTATGTAATTTTCTTTGATATTGCGTCATAGCTAGCTAGCTGCACACGCAATTAAAATCTGATGCAAAAAAAAGGAGGTTAAGCCATCCGATGAGTATGCGGAGCGTACCCAGCACCCGATACGGAGATGGCGGACGCGATCTATTCGGCCTCTAAAGTTGCAATGAAGGGACGGGTGGATGGATGTGCGCACCGCGTGTGTTCCAGTCTTCTCGGCCGCGCCTGGCAGGGGCTGCAAGTCTAACGTAATTCTGTAGGTCGAGGGTCAGGTGAGAGATGAGGCTAAATTGTATGGGTTACTAATGAGCTAAATGACTCTCCATCACGGTCAATATGTCAAAGATCCATCAAGTAATCGCAGAGGGAGGAGCACTGTCCAAGATTTGGCCTGGGTCAGAGAGGAGTCCATTGTGCTACAAAGCCAGACTCAAAATACCCAATTACAACTCAAACATTGGCTCTCCCGAAATGGTCGGAAGCTATCATACACCCACCTCGATTTCTGCTAGATTCACTCAGAGCGCTTGGAGATTTTGCCCCGCTCATTGACCCCAGAAAAATGGATGCTCATGTCTTCTCCTGGATCGCATCCTCCGGCAAGCTGGGGACCCATGACCGCAAATCACCATAGGATAAAGGTGTGGAGTCGCACCCTTGGCGGCGCCACTATGGAACAGGCTAGAGAGGGGATGGCAGATCAGGGATAGAACGGGTTCTACGTCGTAAATTAAAGCGTCTAGTGTACAGGGGCAGCATGCTAGTTAGACAGAGACGTATTGATTAGACACCTTACAGCAGGTAGACCATGCGCGGCACGTCTTTGCTCATCGGGATTTCCATCTAGCGTCACAAGTTCAACGTCTGCATATTAGTCCCGGCATCTTTCGGTGCGCTGCCCTGTGGAAAGTTTAAAGGCTCCTATGTGCTTTCAACGCAGATGAAGCGTTGGATCTTCACATGACATGGTGAGAGGCTAGGGTAACGAAAATTCCAGAGCTATCATTAACGTCTATATTGTCTACATTAACTACATGGATGAGTGGAATAACGATGGGTATATTTTCCCAAAAAATAAAGGTCTTTGATCGAACAAGATGTTTCATGAATTCTTGGATCCAATTTTGTATTTTGGCGTAGTGAGATAATTGTCTCTACGCAGTCATCTAGAAATTACGGCCTATGCCCCAGTAAAACTATATCCACCGTGTATTAGTAAAATAGATGTAATGGCGAGACTACTCGTTCACATCATGTCGAACAAGTCTGCTATGTAATACATGTTGACGTATAAACAAGCCTGTGATAATGGTGAGGATAGCACAAAGAAAGGCTACGGTAAAGACGCTTCTTAGTGCCACATCAAAGGCAGCTCTGACGCCAGCATCCCAGCCGGGAGGAAGGTTGTTCATTTCGTCCAGGCTATTCCGAATTTTCTCAATCTCCCTTCCGGAGCCTGGAATTCCATCAAACCTTTCGTGTAGGCCGGAAAGAAGTATGTTTTGGTACACGGCTGAACCTATAGTGACACCGATGGTAGCACCCGTCGAGCGAAAAGCGTAGACGGCCGAGGTAACAACAGCTCGATGATCGTGAGAGACTGCTGATATGGTAGCAATTAGGGTAATGGTAAGAAGACTGCTGAAGGTCGCGCCAAGTATAAATTCGTATATGTAAATAAACCATTCATTGCCGTCGAGGCTAAGAGTAGTGAGAAATCCAGTAGTTAGACAAAATGAAGAGAGTATAAGTATCAACAGTCGCTTGTATTGACCAGTGGCATTTATGATAATACCACAGCCGACAGAGGTAAAGGTGGACCCCAAAAACTGGGGTATGATACGGATTCCTGAACTAGTAGCGGACAGCCCCTTGACCTGGAAGAAGATAGGGAGATAGAATAAAACCATGTACATGACCATTGTAGAGAACCAGGTAGTTAGACACGCTGATGCAACCGTTCTGATAGCGAGAAGTTTAATCGGAATTATCGGTTCGGAAGCTATGTATATTTCGACATATACAAAAACCATTAAACTTATCAAGCTGAGTGTTATACTGGTGGGTATAAATGGGTGATTCCATGGGATAATATTGCCGGCAGAATTGAGTCCGAATAGTAGTAAAACAATCGAAACTATAAGGGTTGCGGCTCCCAAAAAATCTACTCGGGAGAGCGCCGACAAGGATGACTTTTTGGCTGGTATTTTGACGGTAAAATAGACCATGATGCAAGAAATCATAGTCAGTGGTACCTGAAGCAAAAAGGCCCATCGCCAGCCCCAAACATCATTGATCCACCCACCTAGAAAGCTACCTAGGCCGGCTCCGGTACTGAAGCAAATGTTTGATATTCCATGGATTAGCCCACGTTTTCTAAGTGGTACCAAATCAGACGCAATGAAATTGGGAATAGCCATTAGACCACCACCACCTAAGCCAGCAACCACACGGCCTAGTATCATCATGCCTTCAGAAGTTGAAAGCCCGCTAATCAAGTTCCCGGCGGCGAAGAGGAGGTTGCATGCTATAAGACCTTTCTGTCGAGTGAAGATATCGGTTAGACGACCTAGTAGTGGCTGGGATGCAGCATTGGCGATCAAGTACGCCGACACCAGCCAAGAGAGTAGAGTAAGGGAAGAAAAATGCGTTGAAATAGATGCGGAAAGAGTGGCGATGATAGTTCCATCAAGGGCACCGAGAAAAATGCCAAAGTACACACTAGAAATGACAAGAAAGAGTTCTGCTGAGCTCGGTTCAGGACCAATGATATCCTCTTCGCTTTCTGATGGTGTTGTTTCGCGAAGAAGAGGTGTTTCTTCGCTCAGAACACGAGATTTAACATTTTCCGAAATGTCAGCGGGAATACCCATGACCCTCAGCTATTCGATCAAATTTTGTGTTGGTGAGAAATACGGCAGCGACAGTAATGTGTGAAAGTTAAAGAAGAGTATGATTACATCCAGAATTGTCAAAGGATGAGGACTTTGTAGTTGCAGTGCCTCGATCTTACCAAAGGTTTCCGAAGGTGGCGCATGTCTATCAATATCCTTGTCTTACTGTGCACTGTTGAACCTACGAATATGGCGAAGGGGTTAGGCCCAGGAAGCTAGCCGTATGTTCCTTTTGATCGAGATATACAGGGAATACCATCTATAACCACAGTATGTCCACAAGTGCGACATTTGAATCCACAACCCCAATTCCGTAACTCGACAATTCTACCAGATTTGATGTACCCATGAGTACAGCTACATTCAAGCGTAATCGTACTGCGCGCGAAGAAATTTGTTGACTGCAATCTTCACCCAATCCGGCTACTCAGCTATTTGTGAAAACTTTAGCAATTTTCTCGCAGGAATAGTGGAGTACGCATAAATTTGCCTCACTGTTATGCACCTAGTGGGGAAATTAGCATGGTGTCAAGGTAGACTATTCTCCTGAATTAGTATTGATCACTGATCATAAACGAGGTCGATCAGTAACGGACCTGGAGTCTGATTGTCTCGGATTGATCACGGCCATTCACACAAGCACGATAGACTTAAACGTTCTAATTAGTCTGCCAATCTATTAATTTGCTCATATATTGTTGCAGCGGGATCTGATTCTAAGCATCGTACGTACTAATAGGCGATGTCAGCGACTGTGTGGCCCAGAGACTTGTCACGCGATAGTCGCTGTATCAACCTTTTCAGGCTTTTGATGATGTTGAATCAGCACGCTGATCAACTTTCTCTAGACTCTCACTTGCGTTGATATTCGTAGCTTATCGTAGATTTCAACGTATGTGTTCACGCAGAAACCCCTCAATTTTCCATTCATGCTTTTTATTTTTGTCTGTGGTTCGAGGATCGAGTTTTGAGAAACAAGCTCATAGGTTGCACGCCACTATGCGCTTGCAATCTACGGGCTGACGAGTTGCTGGGTGTACTGAGCTTCTCCAAGCCGTAGAATAACCAAACAACGGGCGGTGATATCGCGGGCATTTCAAATCATAGGTTCTATGTGGGACTTGATTGTGCAGAAACTGGACGTGGGATTACTAGAGGCTAGATTCACAAGCGAAAGTCAGAGTCTGAAAACACTTGAAGTGAAGTTTAGTTGTCATACCGAGTCAATGACTTTTCCATAACAAAGGTACGAGGTAAAGCCCAACTGTGCTGCATAACGAAAAAAGCCGTCCAGTAAAAATTGACTCCAGAGAAAAATAATTGTCTTTGACGAACTAAGATTAAACAGCAGTCTGCGATATCCTTCCCGAATCTGGGGGAGAGACTCTCTTTTCAGAGTCGAGTTCAAAAAAGCTTGTGTTATCAAGTGAGTTGGCCTAAGAGCTAATGATTCAAGACACCTTATCACTTCAATATTTCATTCCCAACAACTTGTACTACTACCAAAGCCCCATGTCTTCGAGCACATCCCAACAAATCCTCATTTCAATGACCAAACCCCTTGTCAACTCACTCTCTAGCCTTGGATAGCTTCCAAATAATCGCCTACAACAATGTGAATACTAATAGGAGGACAAAACTTGTGACACTCAAACCTGGTGCGATAAGTCTTTGGGAAAAACATGATAGATTTGATGACGGGAGTAGAAAATGACGCTGAAGATGGATACAGTCATGGAAATAGTCGAGCTTCAATTTTTGGAAATAAGCTTTCCAGACTGAAGATCATGATAATCTGCACAAATTGGGCTTGGGATTATAACCAAAGTTGTAGACAGGGCCATAGCTGTATATCGTAGTAGTGTATTCCAACGACATCTAGAGCATGAATATTTCCACGGCCAGAAGAGTTATCAACCATGTCCATAAAGCACTGATCGAGGTTCATGGCCACTTAGCTGAGTATAAATTAAGTGATTAAAATGTATTCATGCTGAGGCTGAAAAGTTTGATGCATCCTTTGTGATAGAATCTTTCCAGCTTTTTTTGGGGGCATATCCAATGTTCTAGGCATAAGCTCTCCGCATAGTTGGGATGAAATATTGCATAGGAGCTTGTAAATAACAACATTTGTCACAAAACTTCTACGTTTCGATCTTACTCGCTGGTATCACAACCTGGGTAAACGGTGTCTCACGCCAACTTCAGTCGTGAATCTCTGACTAAGGGAAGCGATAAAAGCTTTTCTCTATTCACAACACTCGTTATTAGTTATCACAAGATCAAAGATTATGGTCTGGAATAACAGATTGCAGAAATTTCTTGACTTTATGAATCACGAATATTATCAAGATCATCAAAGCCGATATTAGTTCAAGCTGATTATCGCACTCCCCCTCGATGCACTAAACAATCTTTGAGTTCCCTATTCAATGCCGAAAAAGCCACAACACGATCCGCGAGCCTATCTTCTATAAGTGCAGTCGACGGGGAATCTTTTGAAGACGCCAGGCTTGGGTTGCTAAGTACGAGTATCATATGAAGAAACTACAGCCTGCGAGTGAAGATGGGAGGAATGCTTTGCCATGAAAGCTTTGGAAATGGATTAAATAGAGGTCTCAAGATTGGGAGGCCATCAAACAAAAGGTTGGCAAGGGAATCATCCCTCCAAAATTATCACAACGTTCTTGGGCGCTGAACAGTGGCTACGCCTCACTTTTTAATTTGCTGGGCCCTTTTGGCACGTTGAGTAGCCTTTACAGTCTGAGCTAACCGACACGATGTTAAGTTATTAAAAAGAAAAGTTCTGAGTGCAGGAAAAACATCAATCTCTACCCTCCCAGTTGTCTTTACATCTACTTGTCATGTACGTATCATGTAACTCATCCAACAATAAAAGATAATTATTTCAGGAGGGAAATTATTCGTCAACTAGGCTAATAGTCTATTATGAATTAGAAGGTTGGAGTGGTAGCTAGCGTCGCCGCTAGATTGCTTCGAAAGGCAGGTATCATGGAACTATCTACTTAGGATTATCGCCTCTTCTGAAGAACCTAGAGCGCATGGAATTTCCGGTGTTGGATGTTCAGTTCTGCCGCAAAGGGGAATCGAAAATCTTGCAGGCAACATAGTTATTGTAGTGGACGCTATAAACCATACGATATTGTATATTTAGTATTGGTGGGTACCACGTAAGCTATCATCCTCAACTACAAATGAGATCCGTGTGCTCAAGAAGGCTTCCTTCAGCAACAAATGTTCAGATATAATTGTCGTGCGGAAGATAAAATAGCTTACCTACTAGAACGACTAGTGATTAATCATTGGTAATGTCTCCCGTTTTTCCCATTTCCATGCGCAAAGGCCGAAAGTCTCCGATGTGCTCGCTCATATCTGTGTCTTCAGTGCACTCAGCCCAAAAATCTCACATCCCCACCTCTGCCTACGTGGTTTTTTTAACCGGCGATGGCTTTTCAAAACTTTCCATGTTGATAACGTCGTCACGGTGTCGGATGGGTTGGTAACCTGAAAGATCAAGAAAATTTTTGTTGATTACTCTAGCAGACTTCGACATCAGTATTGTGCCATTTAGCGGCTTTATCCCATGCTGTTAGACTAAGTGAGAGTAGGATGAATTTCTCAAGAGATGTGAGGAAATATTGGTTGCTCTCTGAGCAACTTGTCCAAACATTGTATACACGTCCCATCAAGCCTTTCGTGTTATCTGAACGAAGATCCAAGTACTCGCCATTTACTGTGTTGTCAACCGAATTCAGTTTGTGTGAATGACATGCGACTACTGACAGTGCTTAGCAAACCAACTCAGATGTGTTGGTAAGTAGAGGAATAAATATGGAACAGCAAGGATGGAGCAGACGTACATGATGTATCAAGGTACACCGCGCAAATATTTGCGGAATGATGTGATATAACAAGAGCAAATTAAGACTGAGACATGAGTGGGCGTCAAAGTCGCCTGTTTGAATGCTTGTAAGGCTAAACCCCCGAAAACCCGCTTTGTCAGCCCTATATACTGGGCTCATTCGGGTTGACAATTGCCCAAATACTACTAAACACAAGTGTCAAGTCTCGATTTTGTTTTTAATAATTTGATTTTTATTCAGCAATGTGGCTATGAAACATGACAAGTGCTATGTGTCGTATTGGACGACTCTTATGACTCAAAGACACTCCTACTCTGGGTTTGATTCGAAAGTACCACTTCAAGGTATGATTGTCTACACAAAAAGTCGACACTTGTCCTAATCTGTCCCACCTCCATCTTGGAGATCCGCCTTGCGGATATGTGCATCTCGATTCTATCTACCCATAGGTTTTAGTAATCTTGTTGGAATACAGCTACTTGTATTTTTTTCAATTGACCAATATGGTTTTGTGCATCTTGTCCTAACAATATCCGAGTTCAGGCGGGATTCCAAATCTCTTATCCAAACAGACTCAAGCATTAAGTCTATTTATATCCTATTCTTACCGAACTAGTGAGTGTATTTACTGTGCTGCTTAAATCTATGACTGTCTAGCACATCGGGCTCCTCACTAAACCAGACCACACCTTCTAGAGTGCTACAGTTCCTCTTTTGATACGAAAAAATATTTCTTATGTACTGCCCATGATGAATAGCCATTCAGCTCAGTATTTACCCATGGAATTTAGCCACCTTTTCTACGGAACCTTCTACCCAAAAAAATAATGGTAGTAATGGAAACTGCGCACGCGGGAAAAAGTCTCAAAAAACCTGTAGCCCCTGCCAGGCGAGGCCTAGACACCGGGACCACATAAGGTGCGCATGTTCATCTTTATAACATTCGAGACCATCTTGTTCCAATCCACCATCTCTGTATCGCGTGCTGGATACGCTCCGTAAACTCATCGGAAGGATTTTCCTCCATGATCAAGCGTGAGTGATGAGAGGGGATTCGATCGTACTATCTGATCTGATCTTGGTTAGCTTCATGAT